TATTAAATCTTATTTATTTATTAAATAATAATTGACTGTACTTTCAATGTAATAAAATCAAATCTCTAGAAAAAGAGTGGTAGATTCCATTTCAAAACCATAAACTTAACTGGGAAACCTGAAGCTGATCAAAACAAATCATGAATTGTGTTGGACAAAGCCCATGGCGAAAGGAAAAAAAAAAAAACAACAAGAAATTCTATTTAATTAGCAGGATATTGATTTCTGGTGGATTTAAGATACAGAGCCGGGCGTATAAAAAGAGTAACTCAAGGCCAATAAAAAGGAATGAAAGCATGGGGTAGCAAATAAATTCAGTTAGATTTATACCCTCATAATCTTTGCAAATTTTATTTCATAAAATCATATAATGGCTTAGGTTGGGAAAGACCCTAGAGATTATCTAATTCAACCTCCCTGCCATGAGCAGGGACACCTCTCAACTAGACTAGGCTAGTTCTTTATTGCTGTGTTTTATATATATATGACAAGATCTGAAGGGGTTTTCCTGTAAACGAAGTCACATGCTTCCGACATTTCAATAAACGAAATCTAATTTATTCATTAAAAATTCCATATATTTTCCTCTATCTGATGAAATAGGTTTGGTTAGTTTTTGATGCAAAGCTGTTAAGTGTAAAAAACTTCTAAAAGGTGAAACTTTGCAATTATGATTTATTTCATGATGAAATTAAATTCCTTTTTTTGTTACATATACAAATCTTCACTTACAGATCCTTTGGCACTGCATTTGTCATAGAAAGGACCACTTATGTAAACTATACTTAAATTCACTTCAAAGCTATTACTATGAGTTAGGCATAATGGCTATCTAATATATGCATATATAAGAATCAGTCCCTGTGTCTGTGATTTCAGGTTACCTAAGACTTGCCAGTTAATCAGTAGTTGTCATAGTTATCAAAGTCCTAGAAAATCTGTCTTTTCAACAAACTTATCTCCTTCTGAATGCAGAATATTTGCACAAAAAAGATCAGACAGAGTTTGCAAATTGTCTTTAGTGTACAGAGAAATTGTGAGATCTTGTATCTGTTTTAAATTTGAAGAAAGACCTGCTAGACCTGTTATTACAGTTCCTTCCTAATCAATTATTCTGATTTAGAAATGCAGATATTAGAACTGTAGCAATCAAAAGATATCTAATGCTTGCTCACTATTTTATCAGTGAAAAATTAAAACTTGCAACTTCCGTCCTTGAGCCACAGCTAGTTTCTTTTTTTTCTTTTTTTAAAAAAATTTTGTAATTTTTTTTTTAAACCTTATTTGTAATTCACTGGTTGTGTCATGTTAAGAGAAGTACTATCAACATGAAATAGCATTCATATCACTGCTGGAACATGTGAGTCAGTGAGAACACCATGCATGGAAGCACTGTACAGCAAACAGTTATCCCAGGCTGGGCTCAGTCCTGGCAGAAAGATGGCATTTTTAGGGTACAATTCATCTCCCTTTAAAGAGGATAGCTAACAAGTCAGTTTGCATGTCTGCTTATTCACAATGACTATAAGGAACTCTAAAGAGCCTATAAAACAGATATCCACACCCTAAATATCTAAAGCAAGTATAAAGTGCCATCTAAGGAGTCTGTTGCTACATGAAAAGTTCCCAACTCCTACCCCATAATTCATCTGCAAAAGAAACATTCAGCAAGCCATAGCATACATGGCTGATATGTGAAGATCAAGTATGCCATTTATATTTATTAGTTTCTTTCAACAGAGTTTCCAAAAGGGATTCATGTGGATATATTGAGTACAACGCAGTATATTTTGATCATCAACTTCTAGAGATTTACACTTAAAAGCTGCAGCAAATTTTAAGGCCACCATAGCCATTGTAGCCATTCTATGAATTTGAACATTTGATTTCTGTGCTGTTTCACTTCTCAGTTCCACAGTTTCTTTGTCTTTTGCTAATGTATTTTCATTTATGCCTCAGGGTGAATTCTAAAATAGTAAGTGGGAGAATTTTGCTCTTGCTATTTTAGTCATTTGGCTTCACCAAAATCCTTTTTTATCTTTCCCTGTCATGTTCCTTGTATCTTCTGCAGAAGTTCCTTTCCACTTCACTTATGCTTTCTGTGATCAACTTGTTCCTCAGTTAGAGTCTTCCAAAAGACACTTCTTCCATGAAGCTAAGCAACATAAACTCTCCATCTTAAGTATCTATTTCTGGTTTAGCAGTGATGTTTAGTGACACTGTGCCTTCCAGTCACCTAGTTTGTTACACTGGTGATCAGTTCTTCCTGAGATTGCTGGCTTAGCCACCTGGGTGATGTGATGAACTCTGAGAACAGCATGACCAAGAGGATTTCTCAGAAGGAAAGATCTGGACAATCTACATTTCAAACATTCCCCAGAAGAATTCAAAAAACTCAGTAGCATCTGAAAGGGTTTTGAATCATTCTGTGAAGAGCAGGAAGAGTGTTTTCAATGAATCTTCCTCCTTGGCATAGTGCTGTATGTGTTTTACTAGGATTTATATGCCCTAAGAAAACACCTATGCATACTTCCGTGCTTATGCCGTGAAATTTGTTGCTATGGAAATATCAAAACCAGTCTATGACTAAGAATGGGCAAACCTGTTCAGACAAAATAGTATCCAGCCTCCATTCGACAGTCAAAATTAATTGTAACTATATTTGTGCTTTATAGTGGCCTAATATCTTTCCTGTATCGTTAAAGGCACTTACAGCCAATGCACACAGGTCCCAGCTTACTCACTTTAATGCATAATGCACAGCAATTCCATCAGTATCTCTGAGAAATTAGATTAAGCTGAATTAGATTAAATTATCCTTACTTTTCTTTGCCTTCTATGGCTTCGTTTAAATTTCTTGGCACAGAAGCATTTTCTAGATTAACTGAAACACTGACTGTATCACCTTCATTCTAAACATTAAAACTTCAGATGATTTATTGCTTTTGACATGTAGAGTGCACTCTGTGGATTAACTGAATGGAAACCCTCAGATTGAGGGGAATTTATAAAGAGCAACATCATCTTCCAGTAGAGTGTGTCTTGGGTCTTGCTGTCTGAGCAGCTTCTCCTGCTAGAGAAAAGAAGCTGACCTCAGGCAAAAAAACTGTGGGAGGGCATGAAAGGTAGGCTTGCTGTGGCTTCATATGCATGCATATCTTCTCTTCTGGATATCACATTTTCTGTTACTGTCAGGGATTTTAATGTGTTACAGGCTTTCTAAAGTTAGTACCTACCTTGAAACCAAAGAACTAGCCCTGTTTTCTAGTATCTCTAAATCCAGTTAACAGACTTCTGGATGACTGTGTTGTATGAGACAAATGCCACAATTAAAAATAGGTGTAACATCTGTCAATAACTGCAATGTCTCATGCAGAGTCATTTGCAACCAACACCCAAAATTGCCTCTTAAAGGAATACATTAACAAAGGATTATGATTATAATTGATCTAAGCATTTATCTGTCTCCCCTTCCTTTTTATTTAATTACTATGAATTTAAATATGATTGCAGCACATTCTTAACTAAGGATGCTTTTCTGTTTATAGAACAGATTTAAAGATTTAACCCTCTATTCCCCTATGAGCCCCTCCTCCCCCCTGCTTAGATTACATGATAATTGCTAGGAGAGGAAAATTGTACAGAAATGCCAAGATTGGCTCTTGTAGAGGTAAATATGGATATTGTGTGTCCCTAATTGAAAAAGACTAACAATATTAATTTATTCCAGAGCCTAAAGACAGGAACTATGGAACATGACAAAGACACACTTCTCAAAAGAGCTGAAATACTGTTTCTTCCTTGAGTTGCAAATATTATGCAATTAAAAAGACTAAATATTTTGAAAATTCTGGAAATATTGCATTTTTAATTTATATAAGAATTTGTCTGTTTAATAAGTGTCTGTAGACTTTTATTAAGAGGCAGAGCAAATGCTCTTTCACTCTGCCAATGCATCACAAAGAAAGTGACTACTTGGAAAATTGCAGTGTAAGAACACATGAATTAATATGATGTAAAAAATACATCATGCAGGTCGAACAAAGTGTGTTCCCATAGAGATGCCCAAGGCTAAGTTGCCGTAATAGTAATAAAAAGTGATACAGGGTAAAATTTTCAGAAGTGTTCTTATAACTGACAATGACTGTCCTGTTTTCAAGGTAATGTTTCTTTAGAAATAGTAGTGCCTTTTACGATGTAATTATTTTTCTCTTACGCACATAAAATTGTCATAGAAATAGAATTTACTGTCCTATATCAGAAAGGTCAGCGCTGAAAATGTGTCCTCGTTTCCTAAGGGCTTGCAATGCAAACACTTCACCTTAGTATAGCTACAGAACTTCATGTCCAAACTGAAAGGTCGTTGTATTTTTCATACCAGTTATTTCTACTATATGTCATTGCAAAAAAATGTTACTAATAAAGGTAAGCATGGCACAGGAATATACTGGTATATAAAGGAAAAAGAAAAAAAAAATTGGGAAAGAAATTGAAACCAGGATAATAAGATAGGAAGCTAACATGATACAACACCAAAAGTCACCAATTTGTGTCACATCATTCAAATCCTCTTTAAAAATAAATTTATAAAATATACAGTTAATGTAATAAAATGCATATTTCAGTGATATGTTTTTATAAATAATTATTAAATTTAGAAAACCATGATGGTTTCACAGAGAAATTTTAGTGATATTCTTCTTACCTGTTATAGTTGCTTTGTTAATAGAGGGTTGGTTACACATTGGTGACCGTCTGTTTAAAAGAAAAGAGGAAAAAAAAGGTATAAGCCTGATAAACTCGCAGATGACGGAATCCTTGAACAATATAATAGAAAATAATATTTCATTGGGAAATTATTTGGGGCTGGAATACCTTGGCATTGCCCAGAAAAGCTCATTTAGAACAGGTGTTTCTTTCTAGTGTAGAAAGGAATTTAAAACTGACTCTGAAACCTTTCTGTACATAGGGAACTTGAAGAGAAGAATATTTTAGTAACTGACAAGTTCATTAAAAATCTGCCTGATCATACTGAGACCTTATACCTAGCTTTAAGTTTGATTCATATACAAAGTTATCATTATTCTAACATGGCTTATACTTTCCACATTCTCTGACTTGAAATACTTTTAAAAATATATATTTTTCACTCTATAATTTTGCATAGATATTATTTTTCATATACCTTTCACAATAATCTTTAGGGCAAAGAGCTCACCCAGCTTTGCCCACTGAAGAAAGCTAGAAGTTGCTGGACTGTCATAGCTGCATAGGGATTGCTGCAAGGAGGGTACAGTTAGGGTCTGCTTATTCCAGTCAAGGGGGCTGGAAGTATCTTTTGATGACACTGCATATGCAGTGGTAGGCAGCTATCTTTGGAATGCTAATTATTAATCAGTTTTAAACACACACATTTTGGGTGAAGGAAATAACTACACTACAAAATTTGCCTATGTATCTAACATTAATGTTAACTGTGATGCTGTAACATGGTTGGATAGAGATTGTATTTATAATATTTCATTTACAGACATGAACTCCTGTGGATAAGTGGGATGTCATCATCTTGGATGAGTTAGGCGGAGTTCTAGGTTCAGATCATGCAAGTAGCTCACAATGAGTGTAGCTGTCTGCTCACTCTGGTTCAGTTGCAGGAGTCACACTCTCCCTGAATAATCATCTTTGAGTGATCTTTGACATATGACTAATTTACTGAAATTCACATAAATTACTCAAACTCCCTAAGTTTATGCAAGCACGGCAATGCAAGAGCAATTAGGCAAAGGGGCTGTTGTCTCAATTAGCAAGTATAGTATTTTCAAGGATTAATAAACTCATTTATTCATCCAGTATGCTGGTTTGGTGGCACAGACTGAAATCTATTACAACTAATTTGTTATTCTTAGTTTACATTTTAAAAGTATCACTGTAAAAAGTTCAGTGGTGAAAACTTGACACTCACTTGCTGGGTGCCCTGTCTTGTAAATTTGTTAATGCAGCGAAGTTATTCCGTACAGTACGCAGGCTGGCCAGCACCTGAAACAGACAGAATGGTTTCAGTCTACATTTCTGCAGAGGTGAGACTGATTCATCTCTGCTCCACTGCACTGGAAGAAAAAGGAAAGGACATAGCAAAACAACTGTAAAAGGTTTCCAAGGTTGGTTTGTCTGAAGCCTTTGGCCATTATTTAACAATGGCATGTCTGTAATACAAGGGCGATGGTTTATTACTTTTTTTTTTCCCCTCATAAACAACTCTTTATTTGTTTAAAGGCAGACTTACTTGAAAAGGAGGAAAGTTTTTCACAGAATACTACTTAGTTCTTTAAAATGACCATAAAAGCATTAATGTTCAAAAGATAATAGGCCATTCAAGCCTGATACTTCATGCATAAGAAATTATTACAAAATCTTCCATTTGTAGTTCAGCCCCCACAAACCTCAAAGGACAAAGGGAATGAGCTTGTCTAGACTGCCAGGAAAAATGAAAATGGGTCCTTTAAGGGAGGCCGTTGATTTGAGGACTTGGTGCAGAAAGCCAGAGTAAGAGGTAAGTGTCATCTGACCAGGTCGGAAATGTCTGCAGGCTTCTACAAGTTTTGTTCACTGGGAAAGAAGACAGAAATGAAATATTTCCTTTCCAGAATAAGTTCATGCAAGACAGCAGCTAGTGGAGGTAGTAGAGGAGTGTCTTCTTGTTATAAATGGCATATGCACTCTCTTCTGAAGGCAGTTGGATAAATAGAGCAAATATTGTACCATATAGGGATGATAAGATGCACCTCTCTGACCACAGAGAGTCAGAAGAGCCACAAATTGTTTGGGACCAGGCTAGGAATGTGCAGAAGCAGCAACACTAATCACTGGTATGTCTTTGAAGGAGCTGCTTGTTGTTGCTTCTCAGCCCAGACTGGACTGGTTCCATGGTGAACCCAATTTAGGAATAACAAAAGGTGGGAATGAGAATTTGGGTTGCTTAAATCTGAGTTGAGGAGGTTATAACACAGTATTCATAACCCCATAAATTTATGCATGAGGTAGGAAGGAGCTAGGAGGCTGAAGAGAAAAAAAGTCAGAGCTTGTAACAGACAGAAAATACTCAGGAGATAGTAATGACTGGCAGTGTTTATGCTCTTGTAGGTAATTCACAAATGAGTTATGATAATAAAAATAAATATATATTTGTTGCCTAATTAAACAGTATTAATTTAATTATATTTTCCTTTCTAAAGATCAAGAAGAAAACTCACAAATTTTACAGGCAGCACAGAACAGAAGTAATTACAAATGCCATCCAATTTGCATGGCCAGGGTACAGTGACACTAACAAATGTTGTATTTAGGTTTTGGATATACACTGATGGAAATCAGGCATGAACTGAGCAGGAGGGAAAAGGTCTTGGCGTTCAAAAGTTCAAAAATAAAGACATAAAATAAAAAGAGAAATGACTGAAGTATGAAAATATTGTAAAACAAAAGCATGAATTGAAGGTAAAAAGAGCAGGAAAGCATAAACTGAAAAAAGACACACATTATAGTGACTGCAGTCCACTTTCAGTTCCCTTCAGTCAACCTGCCTGGGTACAGTTTATGTGTGCCAGGATGCTGAGATGGCTTGTATGTGATAGTAGCATCAGAGAAATGCATCTGTGTGGCTCTCAGAGCTGCGTCAGGCCATGAAAAAAAGTAACTGGTTTTCTAGGTTGCAAGTTCCTGCTCGATAAGTATGGTTGGACTCAAACTGGTTGTATATTCAGGTACATTGAGAATTTGGAGCACATACAAAGGTAGCTAAGTGACTCATTGGTAAGTGTTCTCAGGTACAGCCATTCATGATAGCTCAGCCTTTGCTGGACTGCAGGGAATGACTTGGCACCTGATGCACAGGGCTGAATTTCAGAAATGCTAGTAGCCTAGGCATGATGCCACATGAGAACATGAACCTAGCTGAGGACTGTGTTGAATCTGAAATAACAGGACATTTACCATGTGGGTTGCGGGGCAAAGAAGTACACAGAGCTGCAAGGCTGCTCAGGGCCAGTGAGGAGTGGAGGCTAATGAGCCTAGCTGGCCTGATGTTTGGGTCCTTGAAGAGCTTTTAGGGAGTTTCTCCACCCAGCACTATGAACATTGACCAGATTTTTCACGTCTCATACACTATGAATGTTTCCTTTTTCAGAAAGCAGAGACTTGATTGTTTGGGTTTTATGTCCCTCTATTTGTTCTTCTGGCAGGTAAGATAAATGTCTTGTAGGTCCAGGGGTGAAATGTCCAGTATCTGCCCAGCATCCCAGATACTTTGCGTAGATGCACATATTTTGACAGTTTCTGCAAGTTCTGGCAGGGGGGTTGGACTCGATGATCTCTGGAGTTCCCTTCCAACCCCTAACATTCTGTGATTTTGTGATTCTGTGAAGGTGTTCCCGCACACATAGCAATGAATGTAAAACTGATGACAAAAACTTCGGCCATTGGCTACAATGGAACTAAACAGCTTGATTTATTCTATAAAAGTATTCTTATTTGTAAGTCTATTATATTATGGTATAAGTACATAAAATAATATTTCAAAGTTTCATTATAATTTCCTTTAAGTGGCAGTTTCTTTGTGCTGAATATTTCTAGAGTTAGATTTGTGAGCAAAAATCAACCAGTCATCTCCAAACCTCTTTAGGTTTAATCCCTAAGTAAATATTATTTTCAGAATTAAGTCATATACAAACACTTGCAAGTGAATGAAAAAAATCAAATTATGAAAACCCTAGAGAATTTGTCCTTAAATTTCAGATCACTCAAATAACTTCATTTTGAGTAGTGAAATTCTGTGAATAACTGAATTACAGTAGTTGCTGTATATTAAAACATAAGGAAATGCAACTAATAATATTGTTGTAATTTTTAAATTTTAGCTTACAAAATTTGATTCTGGTAAAAACACCAAATTATCTTGTCCTGGAGTCAGATTCTATGAGGGGAACATAGCATGCCATGCTGCCTTTGGTTAACAAATGCAGCTGTGCTACCATGGTGATGTGCTGAATAGAAACAGACCTGCTAAAATTGAAAGTATTACCACCAGGTGGCTCGTGGTCAGAGGGAACAAGCCTCCTGATCAACTGAAGAAATTATGGTTGGTTTGAAATAACTGGAATAACTGTGTTCCAAATGCCATAATCTACTGCTTGCCACCAGGAAGCCCCGGATGGATTAAAGCAGTGCTTTTGCTGTTTGCAACACAAAAAATGCAATGATGATGATGCTACATGATGAAATATTGCTCTAGGAAGTTATTAAAATAGTATTTTTGTACAATGCATAGACATTATACTGGCACAGAGTATCCAATTTCTGAAGTCCTGCGTGAGGCTTAGTGCTGCTCATATAACTCACAGAAGGGCCCTGTGCTTAGCTGCAGATGCAGGCCAATGTGGGAGATGGGATTTTGCATATTCAAATGATTTTTAGGTAAGAGCTATGTTTTTCTGAAGAGTCACTTCCCCTCTATTAGGCATGCTCTCTCAACTGCATCTATATTTCCCCTGTGTCAGGGAATGTGACATGTGATAACACCCTGTGAATATTCTTTCCTCTGTTCAATTAAAATGAAAACAGATTGACTTAAACCACTGCTAATAGGGTTTTAATCCATCGATTATTATCAATAATGCCCCATCAATTAGGGCACCCTGGTGCATGTATCAGTAACATTCAACTGCTTCTGCTTTAAAATGAAAATGCTCTTAAAACAAACAGGGTATTTTGTCCGAGGGAAAAAAATACTCATAAATGGGTTGTAATATTTGCTGGTTTTCTGGGCATACTATAACCTGTCTTACCTCTGTGGCATAATTTCTAATAACAATTCAGCTGACAAAGAGCATGAACTCAGCTATAGTAAATATTAATGGATTGCTTGGCCACTGTACATTTTGTATTATTTCTGTGCTCAGGGGTTAGGATTTTTATATTTTCTGAGGAACTAAAACTAGAGGTGATTTTACTTATTTTTTCTTCTTGTTTTTCTTGTAATTTCTTCTCTTTCATTATTGTTGAAGTATATTTACCATTTGGGAGATATCGAAGTACTCTTCATATTAAGGATTTGATCAGCCAGTGTTGTATAAACACTTTATCTGTTTACAATATCATTAAATATATAGTAAACTATGAAATTTTTATTTGTTATCAGCTCATCATTAGACCAAAGCATCTGCATATTCAGACTGAAGTTGGATCTTATTCTTGAGACAGGTGTGTGACTCAACCTCTCTTCTTACCGTTCACCTTCAATCACATATGACTTCCAGGTTTATTTTTTCCCCCTGTTGTTACACTCAATTAACTTGAATTCCTATCTATTACAGGGTAAAACCTATCATTGTGAGTTCAAGGAATAACACTGTTAACTTCCCATATGTTGTATGACAGCTCTGTTGCTAAAAGTTGTGGAGTTTTCTATATCTAAATGATATAGAATTTTGACCTGATACTTTATAAAACAAAATCTGAATGGAACATGAAACAAATAGAGATGGTTTTGTAAAGGAAATTAAGTATTCTGGCTAAAACTTATCTTGCATCTGAAAGTTACCTTGTTTTGAATGCATAAAAGATGTTCAAAAGGAGAAATTATAATTATAAAAAGCAGGAGGATAAGAGAGAGCACAAATTTGTCTTCATCATGACTGTCCACTACAGTATTTGAAAGGAGATCAGTCAGAAGTGTTTATCGTGTTGTTGCACTTCACCATTTTAGACAATAAAGAAACATTAAAAGAGACGTGTAGATAACAACAATGGGATGCTTATAACTTTCTGTTTTGATATTTTTTTTCCCATTTCAAGCACATTTATCTAATATAATATTAACAATGGAAAACAGCTGTTTTGGATAGTTGGTCTTTAAATTGCAATATAAGAATTGCATATTTAAATTGCATATAAGAAATATGGCAAAATTGTGCCTACCTGAGCAAATGGTGTCACAATCAAGTCATCTCCGTGTCTGAAAAAGTGAGCAGAGTTTTAAGTTAGGTATTACTGCAAACTTGCCTCACTGCTTTAACAGAAAGAACGTCAAGTTTTATGTTTAACAGAAAGAACATAGGGTAGGTAACTCCAGTTTTATTCTTCTGCAGATACTACTGCTGTTTTACACATTCTTTGAGAAGTAAGTATCAACTTAGTTATTACCTAACTGCCTGGTGCATCTATGAGATGGCTCATGAACCAGCCAGTTTCTGAGCTGCGGGCTGGGCAGGTGACCAACTGCCCAAGTCTGATTTGCAGAGATTTCATCCCACAGGATGGAGGTGAAAATACTGAAAGTGATGCCACGAAGGGTTACTAGCAAGTTTGTGAGACTGGATGGGCAAGTAATCGCAGATGGCTGGGCAGCACATCGCAGATGAATAAAAACCTAGTAAAACTTCCAGACTGACTCATTTCTATAGCTAGAGGGGGTGTGACTGTGTGTGTCGTTGCTGTGGCAACATCACCCACGCCATGGGGTGACGTATGGGCAAGATGCCAGGATGACGCACTGGAGGGGAGGAGAGAGGAAGGGAAAGAGGGATTCTTTTGCTTCAGCAATGAAAGCTGCCACTTGATACCGTTTCCAAAAAATATAGTCTCATAAGTACAAGTAGGACGACAGTTGAGCTTAAGAGTAGCATCTGTAGTGCTGATGATATGGAGTCAGACCTCTCCAGGACACCACAGGGACAGGGAAAGCTTGGGAGTTTTCAGTTATCAGATCTAGTATATGGCAGCAATCATGATGAAAAGAAATTTTCCAAAGGCAATAATCTAATATGACTCGTTTTAATTTTCCTGTAATTTCCTGCCGTGAATTTATCATGATGAGTTACAAATTGCAGCTTTCAGCAGAAATTGTCATTGATTTGGTGTAATTTTAATGTTTAAGTTTGATCATAAAATGGCACTATTTAACAATGGACTTCAAACATATGAAAATCTAATCAGAAAAAGGCTTTCTGATAAATAGAGAAATATGATTTGCCTTTGAGTTACTACATACTTCTCAGAATTTATATACTATCCATAAGACAGTAATGTTTTTACAGATATTGCAAGCACCTAATAAAAAAGCAATAACTACAACCAGTTCACTAATGATCAGGATTGTTTAATGGGTTACACAGCAACACAAAGGCTTCAGCAGAAGACAAGCCATATCTGTTTCTCCCTTTTCTCTCCTTAAACATCCATAGTGTGAATATGTATGCTACCTCGCTTCCAGAAACATTACTCTCTTTGTCTTCAAATTCTGTGAAATGGTACTATCTCCTGTGTGATACCTAGCTTACCTGTTCCTCAGTAAAATCTGTTCATTTCTTGCCTTTTATAAAGGATATTTTTACTATTTGTGTATAGATACTCCATTTTATCTTCTGTTTTGACACTTATAAGAGGAGCAGCTATGTAGAGCAAAGAATATGCATTAATCATCTGAATGAATTCTGCAGAGATGGAAGAGCCTAGGGTCTCAAGTAAATTATTTGCCAGTCTTCCTCACACCTACACACTTTACATGTTACTCAGGTCGTACAGGCAAAAAAAGTAAACAAAGGGTTGAGCAAATTCTTAGAAGTGAGTGTATTTTCTGAGCAATCAAATTCCTCACAGATCCTGTATCTAAAATCAATATGCAAGCCCATGTTTTATGGATCTACTTCACACATTTGGAAACTGTGAAGAGGGAAAATGGAGGAGATTTTAAGAAGTTTACAAGAAGCAGCAGTACTGCACAAAGAACAAAAATATTACAATTGTTTCTACCTGTAAATAAGCCACATAGTGTAGAGCTAGTTCTTTCTAGTGTCACGAGCATCGGTCAGTGGCAAACATTCTGAATGCCCAGCATATGACACAAATGCATAAAATATTCATCAGTGTTTCAAATTCCATGGCAACTATTAGAACATAGATATTAACTGTCAAAATACAGATTGGCAAAACTATGAAAATAGGGTGGTTCTTCTTCTTAAAATCTCTTACAGACTTCTTTACTGGAAGTGATACTTTGTTGCTCTTCTCATTCACTGACCTTGTTTGCCACCCATTGAATCCTGAGGCACTTCTAAGAGGCAACAAGTATATGTTACTGGGTTTTCTGCCCTGGAAGTGTTATTTTTCTTCTTTTCTATAAAATAGAATGACCTTATTCTAATTTTCAGACTACATTCATACTGAGCTCTTGGTGGACTGCATTTCATCAGAGAACACTGACAAAATACTGTATCTTGTTATTTTTTAGAGAGGGCATTATTAAATATTAATTTAATATACTGAAATAAACCCAGGATTTACTTTTAATTTTTCAGATGCCCCTTCTGTCAAGACCAACAATTCCAGAAATTATCACTATTTTGGTGAAAGCATGATACTGAAAGTACAGTCATCCACAGTTGTTTATCCATGATAAACTGCATAGACCCTTTTGCACAGAAAAGTAATTGCATAGTGCAATAAGAAATCTTTAATCTACATTAGCTCAGGAAATCTGCAAAAGGTGAGAGTGCTCAAAAAAGGAGTAGACAGGTTCTAAATATAGACACAGCTGTTAACCTTTAAGGTTAGAAGAAAATTGTTCATGTCAATGTTAAATTCTGTTAACTAGTATGTGTGGCATACTTGTTCATATCTTAATTTTTTAAAGGAAAGACAAATTTGAAAGCAGAATAGCCCCCAAATTTAAATTCATCAAAACCACCACCTCCAAAAGAGACTGCTAAAGCACTCAACAGTCTGCATGAGATCAGTCACTGTTCACAAAATCACAAATCACAGGCTAAATCAAAATCACAATCTATCACAAAACACAGTCCAAAATTCCATTAGGAGACCAAAGATTATATAATGTATTGCAAGTTATTTACTACACTGAAGTGATGAGCCTGGCCTACTGCAAATTTTATGGGCTTTTCTTCCTAAACTCTGGCATGGGGGTTGGACTAGATGATCTTTTGAGGTCCCTTCCAACCCCTAACATTCTGTGAATTTATGTGAACTTTCCTATGGAACATACTTGAACTCATTCTATATAACCTATGATGGTCCCCATGCCAAAGAATCATAGAATCACTATGGTTGGAAACGACCTCTAGGATCATCAAGTCCAACTTCCATCCCAGCATCTCCCTAACCACTAGACCATAGCCTCAAGTGCTACATCTACTCGTTTTTTGAACACCTCCAGGGCTGATGGCAATGCCACCTCCCTGGGCAGCCTGTTCCAGTGCCTGACCACTCTCTCAGTAAAGAATTTCTTCCTAAAATCCAATTGAAACCTCCTCTGGCACAACTTGAGGCCATTTGCACTCATCCTGTCATCAGTAATTTGGGAGAAGAGACCAACACCAGCCTCACTACAACCTCCTTTTAGGTAGCTGTTGGGAGTAATAAGGTCTCCTCTCAGTCTCCTCTTCTCCAGACTAAACAACCCCAGTTCCCTCAGCCACTCCTCATACAGCATGTTTTCCAGAGATAAAAGGGATATGCTAAATCGGAAGTTAGACAAATATGTTCAGCTGATTGTTGCCAAATAAAAGGTACAAAAAATCTGCTTCCTTTCCTCAAGATCAGCATTAACTTGTCTCTTCTGTCTCAAATACAGAGCAGTAATTGACTTTCCCTCTACTAAAAAAGAACTTATCATTGTATGTATGAATGGACAGAGAGAGAAGGAGGCAGGAAGATGATAGGCAAAGTGACTGCATAACCTTTATTTCTTAATGAAGTTGGGATAATTTAATATAATCATCTAATAAGAGGAGTAGCTAGAGAGACATTCTGCAGACATGCTGAGATACAGTTAAAAAACAGGTGTTTGGTTTTTTTGTTTTGTTTTGGTTTGTTTTTTTTTTTTTTTAATGTGGTCAGAAAAAAAATAAGGCTATCCATTAAGGAGAACTAAGTTTCAGACCCTAGAGACCACTAGAAATGTGAGTCTGCACTTGCTAGTGGGCAGCTTCACAAGGAATGTCCTGAATAAGATTTGTCTTTGTAAAGGCCAGGGTAAATGCAGATCACACAAAAATGTAGACACACGTGAAGACTATCGAGTGAGTGATCTTGAGGACATGTCTTGCAGATGGGAGACATAAACAGGGTAAATAAAAGCCCTGTCTAAATTGAGGGCAAAAGATGTGCAGAGCATACTTACACCAATTTGACTCATAACTTTTCATGAAAAAAAATACAGTCAAAATAAAATTTCTGGTTAATCTTCATACAGATTTTATAGCATAAATAATAAGACCAGTGGAAAGAATCTCAATGCTTTGTATCAGTTTAAAGGATGTTCATACTGGTTTGCCATACTCCTCCATTTAAGTGAAAAACTCATCTCCCCAGTCTAAGTTCTGGCTGAGGCTGCTGGTCAAGCTTTCAGTCTCTGGCTACACACTTGGGACATAGCCTGTTTGAAAGAATAAAGCTGCCAACAGACTTTAAAAAGCCCTGAGGGAGAGTGGCTGTGTAGAATCCCTGAACTGTGCTTCACAGCAAGTACTAAGAGTTTTGTCACATTGCTGCAAGAATGGACTCCATTTTTACTGACTGTATTTGGGCATTTGAAAATTTGTGTTAATATAGAAGTATAGCAAACATAAAAGCAAGGGAAAATCCATACTATCTCCACACAATGTGTAAAATAGAAGACGAACATAAAAGTAGTCTTCTATTTGAAACAGTAGATCTATTGCTGCCTCCTTTTTCAGTTCTAAACATCAACATTTGTATTAAACATGACATCCACTCATTTCTGTAGACAAGACTGATTCAGACTCACTGTCCAGTAGCATGCTATACATATGGCTTAGATAAGACATTCTTGTTTTGCTTGCATATATGCTGGTGCACAAATATACTACGTGCAAAACCACAAATGGAGGACAGAGAGTAAGGTGATCAATTACCCTAATTGCCAGGATTTTTTTTTTTTTCTTTGCCTCAATACTGTTTTACTAGATGAAGCCAAAT